TACGACATACATCACTTGATAAATTTCGACATATTGAATAGTTTTGAAGGCTCACGATATGTGCGTGCAATTAGGTGTTGCGGTTCACCGGTTAAAGGCGATGTTCACGATAGATGCCCGACATAAATTAAAGCAACAGTCCCAGCAGGGTGGGCGTGGTCGGAAACGGCTGCAATCCCCTCGGCCGATTCCCACTTCGGAGCTGTTCAGCCCCTAGTCAAGAACGTAGGAAGTGTGACTGAACAAAAACTCACCTTGGAAAGCCGCTAGGGAGGGAGCTGAAGTGGGCGTGGTCGGAATCGGCGGGGATTGCAGTCGTTTCCGACCATGCCCACCCTGCTGGGACTACTGTGTTTTGAAGTAGAGGTGGCTATTGCGACACACAAGGATAAAGAAAAGCCAAGAAAGCGATCCAGAACTCCAGAATGGAACATTGTACCCGGCGAAGAGAAAGCAGGCACATCGTTGCTTCTTAAGAGTAGGTTATATTAGGTACCGGATATCTTAGTGTCGTTTTTTCACCGCGAGTTTCGGACCACCAATATTTTAATTCAAATCCAGTGAGTGAAACGGCATATCCATCGAATGACTCATTAGCCCTTTCCCATTTACCAGTATGAGTGAAAACCTCGTACGATTAAAGTTAGGAATTTTTTGAGTCGAAAAAGAGAGGTAGGTCGAATTTGACATCATCTGACAAATCATCCCTCTACCTTGCTAAACAGTTGGGCCTGGACAAAATATGTATACATTTAGTTAGAGTAGGGTCTGCACTGTTTGGTGGAAAATTTATTACTTACCAGCTCAACTGGACAATTTTTCCCGGAGTCTTTTTTGCCACATGGGGTCAAAAACGCACCCTTTTTGAGCACACGTGAGTAGCAGATGAGCACATTTATTAGAATTTCTTGGTCAATCAACTTCGTTAGAGCGTCTGTGCACCATCGATCAGTAACTGCTAGGGTGTCCTACCATTCCAGCACAAGACTGGTGCAGCCCCGTTTTGACTGATTTAGCTAGGACCACCTTTTTGGGCGACGGTTGCGGGCATCCCTTCAAAGACTTTACTGTCTTTTAAGAAAACTGTGAAAAACCGATGAGCATTTTAAATGGTAGTATTCCCTCCATCAAATGCAATGCTTGGTTTGGTGGGCGGAAGTTGTAGCTCTCAGCAAGAATTTTGAAGCATTTGGTACACACATGCGAATTTGCACACTGGACCCAGGAATTTTCAAAAAAGTATAAAAATTGGGGGAAAGTTAAATTGTGAACCAACAATAGAAACAATAAGCAACATATTTCGCAGTATTAATGAGCAAAAACTGCCTTCTGAGATATTGATTTTCCATAGTAATCGGCCCCAAAACTTCCTGAACTCAGAAAAGCGACACTAAGATATCCGGTACCTAATACATTCAATGCAAGGGAAGTTATTACTATAGATAAGAAAAGTTCATATTTGCTCCAAATTTCCTCACCGTGTAGCTGCGGCTACATTATGCAACCATACAATGACTCTCACAACGGCATAGGGAGGAATTGTTCAGATTTTGATGCGCTGTTGTACGGTTTATAGAAGACGTTTAAGCTCCGGCACATTCCGTCAAAAGGCCGATGTCAGACTTTGCGAATCGCGCGATTCGCTAGCGTCTGCGGTCGCGTCGCGGCCAGTGAATCACTCAATTGGCTGGTACCGCAACGCGACCGCGGACGCTAGCGAATCGCGCGAATCGCTAGTAGCGAATCGCGCGATTCGCAAAGTCTGACATCAGGCCTATAAGGCTTCGTATAAAAGACAGATTTACAATGCCTTCATTGAACGGTAAGCTTCACAAATGAGACAGAGGTTGGGCGCAATTTGACACTGTACACGAAGGAAGGCTCCACTCGTCCCAGATCTTCACCAGTCCAAAGGTTACGAAGCTGGTATCCGTTTTCATTTGTGAGTCCGATCGACTGAAAGGCTGAAGTTTATTCCCTACAGAGAAGGCATCTCTTCACTTATATGACAATTTTCAGCCCTTTTATTTTAACCATGAGATTGTGAGCCGTCGAGGGCTTCAGACCGTTGCACGGTCGAATAGCTATGGAATCTGGTATCAGTTCAGTTGCTATGCTCCTTGCTTATGCTTCTCGGCTTAGCACTTGAAATACACTGCGACGCATAATTATAGTTCCACCTACAAATTTCCCAAAAACTTGAATCTGGGGATGTTTTTGGAAAAGGCTCTACAGATAAATTGTGACACATATAAACGCGAATCTGAATATTAACACGGAAATCCAGTTTGAGAAAGCAACAATTTTTTATCCTTATTTTTTTCGAAAATATCCGCTTTAGCTTCTCCGCTGCATTTTGCTTTTACCCAATCAAAATTTGGAATTATTATCCATTCAAGTTCCTTAGCTTATAGCAAAGGCAAAACCGCTGTCACACTTCCGTAAAAGGGAAATCCTAGCAAAAGAGACGCAGGAATTGTCAAAGTGTCAGCTCCGCTGGAATTTGTCGGGGTGACTTCATAACGAACAAATTTCTCAAGGATGCTACAGGATATGACTGGGAGGAACCCTGATTACTATCCGACTGAGATAAGCGCCGTATCGTGAGAAAATGATATCCAGCCGGGTACTGAAATTGTAGGTGGAACTATAATTATGCGTCGCAGTGTAGTGTTGAGATTGCTGGCAGTCCGTACCATGTCTCTTGCTTCTGTTCACCAGATCACCACTAATTTGGTTGCAGCGAGCTGAATTTTGAGCTTGAGCATAAACCCTGTGTAAAAGCTGAGCCTGAGCCTGAGCTTAAGCTTCGGCCACTGCATAACTCTGGTGAACTGATCTTGTCGAAAGAGTTTCCTATCTGATTGCTGTGATTAGACTGGGCTCATTCGCTGTTATTCGACTTATCTACAGGGTGGTCCAAAATTATGAAGGACCGCGTGCGCGCGCAGTCATATCCACTTTTTTCGGTATCGCTCCATTTTCATCTCGTTTTCTGTGCACCATGTGAAAGGGTACAATGTCTTCTTCTTAATGAAGTGTCAAAGTGTCAGCTCCGCTGGGATTTGTCGGGATGACTTCATAACGAACAAATTTCTCAAGGATGCTACAGAATATGACTGACAGGCACCTATATTATAAAGCCATTAATTTTATTCTTCCTAATGAAACCAAATTTCATGAAGTTCTCAAAACTAGTGAAATAACTACTTCACTTTGAGTCAGTCCTCAAATTGAACTCACTAGGGGCTCTGGCACGTTACATCTAGCAGCAGTCTAACCTATCAGAGAAGCCCTTATGAGCAACAGTTCAACTCTTCAATAAGTTTGGAATCACCACAGATGGAAAATTCGGGGACTCGAAAGTTACAGTTACCACCAGGATAATTATCAGATGCAGAAACTAGGTCTCCCCTTGTCGACTTTCGTACACCCAAAATGAAAAAATTGATGTGAAAACCCAGCCAGACACTCTAAAGACTCCACATCTGTAGTGGATAGAAAGCCACACGAGTAGTCTACTTGAACTTTTACAGGACCGAGCACCCAAGAATAAAGCAAAATTCCTAAAAAGCGATTTTTCGAGTTCGTTGCTTTCGAAGAATTGTTACAATGGAAACCATCCACCTAATAGCTCTAGATTTCTGTATTTTACACCCTGGAGACATGTGGTAAATGAATGCCCCACAAAACGTTGATCCCTGAAGAAAGCAGAGCAGAAGGCCTGGAAACATTTTGACACGCCTCAGTTGCGTGCCACCGCACGCGCCACCCCCTTCGTCTGAAGGCTCGTGTAAACGCGGCAGGTGGCAGATCTCAATTCTATTCTGGAATTACTTTGAGATAAGAGTTGCAAACACTTCCCTGTAGTTTGTTTGCTCCATCAAGCTACTATGCGTTTTTAACGACACAATGTCTTGGTCCTCATAATTTTGGACCACCCTGTAGAGTCAATCTTACGCTTCATTCGCTTTGGCAAAAGGCTTTTGCTATATGTGGTTCATCATTCGAAAAACTGCTGTTGCGGTTGCTATGGGCTGCATGTGCAAAGCTTAGCGGTTTCAAAAAGGAAACGTACTTGTCCTTTTGTACGTGCATATTAACGACGGCCACAGCATAGGACGAGTTACCGTCGCGAACAGGAGTAACTGGTTTCACATAGATACTAATGTACTTTATCTATAACTTTTGGATATTAAAGGAGTAATTCAGGCCAGGAGTGAAGGCACGGCCGCGGGTTTGCGACAGAAGCAGTGGAAATGACGAGTCTAGATCTCGAACTCTGCTGTCTGATAGGAGGAGGGGGTCATGAAAGTCGCATATGGGTAGGGCCTAATAGGAAGGGACACATGCACCATAGCAAACGTAAATTAATGTGTCATATTGCTGTTTAGGAAAGTACACGTCTCCCACATGCTACCGGTGATAGCCGTGCTGAGTGAATATCCCATTCAACAAAAAGAAAGGTACAGTCAAAAATCTTGGACAATGGCTAATGACTAGATAACAGAGAGAGCGTTGTAAAGAAGGCACAGCACTGATATTCGCATCAATACACAAATCAACGGGCAAGGAAGGTCCCAATTTCTTGTTATGGGCTGTTTCACATGACTTCTTCCTCAGTCCTGCATCAATGACCGGCCGCTACCCTATTCCAGTGAGGCAACCTTTTCCTTTCGTTAAATCGCCTTTAAAGTCTTGATCAAGGACCTCTATTGACATCGACCAGGCGATAGCCGTATTGATCATACGAAGGGAATTGTATCAATGCTTCAGTTAGAGGGAGGGGATCGTAGTGGGCCATGTCTTCGATGCGAAGTTCGCCCTAGATGCACGGTTTACACGGTCCGCGCTGGCCCTGCAGACGCTGCACGAGCTCTGTCTGTCGCAAAGTCTGACGTCACCTAAGGTGACACAAATTCCTTTAGATATGTCCAATGCCTTACCCTTCTCACAAGCTTGCCCATTATTCCAAGAGGATCCTGATCAATGGCGATGACGTCACGGTTCAACAGAATATCTCTGAATTCTTGTTTCAGCCTCGCAAAGTCGTTCGACATTATCAATGGTGCAGACCATATTGACCTAGATGGATCTTCATAAGAATCATAAACAATCGAAATTTATTCGAAATCACAGCTAAGATGTAGTGCTCGGTGGCGCTGCTGACCAAGCGCACGGTCCGGGGGCTAGGGTCGGTCCCTATCGTTGCTACTTTTCAAAAAGTTACGACGACCCCTCCCTCATGAAATGTTTCATACGACCCCCTCTTCAAAACGATGTTTTACCCCAAAAATTTATTACCGTTGAATTTACCCATACCGCGCGCTGAAACGGCAAATTTTCTCCCGCGCCGCTCCCCACTCATCACATGCAACTTCTTACAACCGAAGCAAGTACGACCCCCCTCTACAAACTCATCAAAATACGACCCCCCCCGTTGCTACTTGTAGCAACATAGGGTTGACCCTGCCCGCGAATCCTGGACGTGCGTCATCCGGGCCAACCAAGTCTTCCATTTCCCGGGACGGTTAGCTCGTAGCAGACTTGTACGTAGGGATAAAAGTACTGGCCGATACATAGGCTGGTAATCGCAAGTCATTGTAAAGTCGCATTTCAAGTCACTAAAGATTCTGAGTGGACGTAGTAGAATGCGTGGCGCGGACCACCAGAGGGACTGATAAATCCCAAAATGCTCTGTCCCTTTTACAGCCAAGGCAATCACAGGATGCATGTCCAGTTCTCAGGGGCTTGCACTTGAACTAACTACCCACAGGAAGAGCTGCGCTCATTTTTTTAGCAGTTCCGAGAAAAAGGGAGAACTAGTTTAGTTTCGCTGACCGATATTTACCTAGGAAACTCCTTGTGGGAAATATTGCGATGGTGTTGATCTATTCACTTTCGAAGGCCACTAGACCTCAAAAATTTCAAAGCAACATTTTTTAAACCATAAATTGAGAGAAGCGTGGATGCATGTAAGTTGGCTTTTTTGTCTATGTACTGCCCTGCCAGTGCCCAGTAATCAGTATCTACTATGATCACTATATCAGGAAGGTGTCATAGAAATTAACAACGACAACATATTTCATCATTTTTTCTTGGTAATAAATGTTGATCACACATCACTCAATGCGCAGATCACCGAGGGAGGTCTCTGTTTCCGGCTTGACGGCACGCTTAGGCCGACGTCATACTTTGCGATTCGATTAGCGATTCGCAAAGTATGACGATCGCGCCTTACGATTAGGGCCAAGCGTGAGTAGTGGTGTTGGAGTAATGAAGGAATGGGTTCTGTGGAAGATTTGCCTGTGTTGTGGCAGGATAGTGTAGTTCTTCAGCCGCTATTCACCACAGCGATGACTCATACTACCTCCTATGTATAACAATTGAGCAGCTGTTCACAAGCTTGGCACATTCGCCTACCACAGAGGGGGGAATGTGTTCTCAAAGGCATGCCCCAGGGTCACACAGGTGTAGAAAAATCTGTAGCTAGCAGCTTACTACTTGCGAGGCCCAAGCGCTCTTGTCGGTTGGTTTCCGTGCACGGAACGCCACATTTGTGATTGTCCTCTAGGGGTCTATACTACAGACCGAAGGGAAGCGTTCACACGACCTCTGCCTGGGTTGTGCCTTTAATGCGTGAATGTTCGAATGAAGTTCTCGAACAGTTCAATGTAATAATATGCTATTTGCTAGAATGGGGAGAATTGGTAGGGACCAATGAGCTCTCGTGAATTTAGCTCAACCACTAACTAACAAGCTACCTACCAGATTGTCATTTGTACCATGGCTTGATCCAAGGTCACATTTGGCAAGCCTACGACGAGCTGGAAACACTTTCGGTTCGTGAAGTTGTGCATTACAGGTTGTGTTTAGCGCGAAAGCTGTTTTGTAGACTCACCATGTCGGGATCATTCCATCCACCTGGACCCTGCGCCGCTGCAAACATATCCTGGTTTTCGTTTACAAACCGAATGATGTCAGAGATCGAGTTCCAATTTCCGGCCACGTCTTCGTAGATTCGCCACGAGTTGCACGCCGCTCGCACGGCAGTGAAGTTGATCTTACAAAGTCATTTACGAGTTTTTATTCTTTCTATTGGTTCGAACAGCGTTGTTCGCTGAAAAGTCGGAAGATGTGGGATTCGCCTTCATGGTACACACCAATGAGTCACTCCTGCTTCCTCAGGCCCTATGAGAGGTGGGAAGGGGGTGACCCTACGTGCTCTGTGAAAAAAACCCGGTTTGATTGGAGGTTACGGGTGCGCGATCAAATTCGGTGCATTTATTTTGTCGGGAAGAACAAGAAATGCGAAGAGAGAACACTAGTTGGCTGAACAACGAAACGACCATCATGGGTACCATGAAGCTTTTTTCCGGAACAGTCGACGTGGCACAACGGCGGCCGGGGCTTGCAGCTGCGAGGAGGGGAAAGCGGAGGCGGAACTTACGTTTGGGGCGCGAGATAGCCCAGACGCACGGTGTTGGTTTGCTCTTGGACTAAGAATTGCAGCAGATGCAGCTGTCCAAGCAAAGTCGAGCTTCTCGTCACGCAGCTTTTGAGTCAGTGCTGTATACACACCTCCGCTGTAAATTAAGGGTCCCGTTGGCCTAGACTCAAGAACAGAGCTTCTCCAGAGTCCTGACTCGGGACCCGTGCCTTCCAAGCAGGGTAGCGAATGAAAATTTGCTACATCGTTCATGAGTGCTATCACCGCACTCGCATTGGATCTTTCAAATGCCGATCAGAGTAAGACGGGTGTGCGTAGTCACGAGCTCTCCAGCATTGAGAACACTGGGGATGAGAAGTCGGACTGGAGAAAAAAAGAAAAGGAATCGTCTAAGAAGCAAGGAAATGACTCGTCTTGCCAGATTGCTTGTCTTTCTTCCCATCTGTTTCATGTACGTGACAAGGAATTTTCTAGGTATCGAGTATTTACGCTTGCGCTTGAAGGTTGGGATTGTTTCAGCTTGGAATCCATTTTAATCGCCATCTTTTGGATCAGAGAACGGTATTCACCTGACTGTTAAAAAGGACTGCTGGGATTGTTGGGTCACTTGTTATGACCCTCACATACTGGGCGGAGATCCGCCGATCATTCACACTCACGATGAAGACAGAGGGGCCGAAGTATCTTGTAAGAAATGCTATACGTACCTTGTCTTTTTTACGCATTGCTGCTTTGTAGAAGAAAAAAGGCCAACCACAAGCGTAGACAATAGGGCGACCAGTGCCATTCAAAGCACGCTCCATTTTTGGGTAACCTAAGCCAACAATATTTATGGGGAGGGGTCCAACACATCCAAGTTGTTAATTTTTGCACCGTAGACCTTAGAGTTAAAAGAAAAGCCTGTCATCAAGCACTCAACAGTATGCTTATCTATAAATTTAGACACCCAAACATCTGAAGACCTTTTATTAGCTTCCGTTCGGCTTTTTTTCCTGAGCGGACCCACGTCTAGAGAAAGTTTGTCGTATAACACGCCTGCGGGCTAGACTAGGGGTGATCGCAACAGGGCCCGTGGCCCAAGGTCACCCTATAAGTCCCATCTATCATCACATCTATCACAACACCTATCATCTCAACTAAAATATAACTGGCCTTAGTTTTCGCAAAAAAATGCTTGGCAAAGGGAGCGGAAGATGGTGGGGGGTGAAGAGGGGAGTGTGTGGCACAATCAAGAAAGCAGAAATTCTTGAAAACTTTCCTCCGAAACCCCGAAGCTTCGATGCGCTTTGAAGCAGAGCTCCATAGAAATCGTGCTATACGAAGTTTTAAGGAATCCTTCGCGGAAAAATCATGCTTTTATTTGGGCCATAAATCACTGACTTGAGACTCATTCCACGATAAGAATGGAAAGAACAGAAATATTGCTTTCGTTCTGGTAAAAAATTCAAAAAATCGAAAGGGCTGCTACGCGTTCAAAGTGCCCACGGACGTCTTTCACAAATGCTGGCGACGGGGATGCTTCCACTTGGTTCTTATAAGGAAGGTCTTTTCCGGACATGGAGCGCTTTTTGGAAATGGACTTCTGCATGTTGTAGAGGCTTATGCGAGGAATACAAAACCATGGTTCATTTTTTCTGAACGCCCCCAGGAATGTCAAAACAGTGGCAAAGAAATTGTCCAAAGTTCGATCCCCAGGTGATGACTAATTTTTGCAATGTAGTTTGAACGACCCCAGATTGCCTGAAAATGGCGCCATCGTCGAGAATAGATGTCATTGTCGTGTTTTGCGGCAATTTGGAGGCGCCAACATGAATTGCAAAAATTTGTCATCACGGGGATCGAACTTTGGACCATTTCTTCACCACTGTTTTGACATTCCTGGGGGCGTTCAGGAAAAATGGACCATGGTTCTGTGTTCCTCGCATGAGCCTCTACAACGTGCAGAAAACCATTTCCAAAAAGCGCTCCATGTCCTGAAAGACCTTCCTTGTTAGAGTGCCATTCGCTAGAAACTCTTCCTGGCTTTCTGCTTTATTGCATTCACATCTTACACTTCTACTGCATCATACTCTATCGATTGTTTGCCTCTATTCTCCAAAATCGATCACTTTACCCGGATTCCGTCATTGCGTCGCCTGATACGGTAGTTCGGGACCTGAAACCCAACTTCTTTGCATGTCTCGTCTTGGGACGCCGCCCGAATCACTTCGATGCAAGGGGTTCAACCGTCACGTTGGACCGATATTGGAGCGACGTTGGACCGATGTTGACCGCTCTCCGCGCCGGCATTCACTCTCGCCACCCGCGAGCCGTCTGTGTCTCCGTGCGTACGTTCACTCTCGGCATTACTCTCGTCGTCGCGTTGGACTTTGTCCAACGGACGGTTGACCCTGCTTCAATTGTCCAAAAGCGTGTAGTTTTTGGACGTTTGTTTCTCTTCGGAAACCGAATCTTCATGCGTGAAACTTTGCGTGCTGTTTCCAGTGATCACAACTGACACATCCATGTCAAGAAAGAATGCAAGAATTTTCCGCGAAGGATTCCTTTAATCTGCGCTTCCAAAATACGCTCTCAATTTCATTGAATTCTACCCCACTCCCTTCCACAGAGGGTTAGATATATCGAGCTCGTCGTTTAAGTCCTCTGATCACTACTTCTACCTGTGTTACATTACGTGCTGTCACACATAGCCTTCTCTTGTCACTCGTACAAGCTTCAAATAGACCACTTGATTTGCGAAGTTCTCCAGGCAATCTCCAGTCTTATTGACCTCACACGAGTCTCACTTCAGAGGCAAACTCCCTCACTGGATGAGGGGGTGGGGGGGGGTTATTGCGCTTGATTGTGAACGTAGTCGTGGCAATTGATGTTCCCGTAATGGAAAGGAGAAAAACAGTTCAGGGCAGTGATCACGATAGCTGGAGTGCGGTGCGGTTTTGGTGGCGTTATTTAAGGTCATTGGTGGCAGGGTTTCAACCATTTGGTTTTCAAGTGGTGGAAACATGCCTCAGCCTGATTGGAGTTCATGGGAAATGTCACAAACTTCAAAACTTACCTCTGAAAGGCGTTGGAAGCAGTCGAAATCCTTCAGGGAGGGGCGGATCCGTCAATACACTTCAAGAGGGGCGGATCCACCGATCCGTGGTGGGGCCGCCTCCAAGCAGCTGTGCAGAGCGCTTGCTCGACTAGCGGTCGTTGCGGGACCGCCGCGCTGTATGAGGTCGATTCCATAAGAACGCAATTGAAGCGCTTCAATTTCGATTGCTGGCAAATAGTTATGTATTTGCAAGCATGCATGGCTATTTGCCAGCAGTTGCAATTGGAGCGCATGTACTACGGGCAGGTTCGGACAACTCGTCCAACACACGTCTCCCTAAACGGCAGGGGGTCCCTGTCTAAGCCCCTGCCCGACGTTTTTTTCTACTTTTTCTTTCTCCATTGACCAACTTCTCACCTGCAACGTCATTATAGGTGGTCCTTACCCGCGAATTCGTTCCTGGATTGTTGCTTTAAGTCCATTGGTGGGAAGAGTTTGAAGAGGTGCTTTCAATCACACTCCACACTCAATCGCTCAGTGCTCTAGTCCACGCAATGACGATCGCCATAGCGCCATCAAAACCGCATCGCTTTCGCCCGAAAGGGAATGCCACTAGTGAAGGGTGAACCTTTCCTATTGATATGCCGGGATGCGGTAAAGTACGGTAAAACGACGGGGTCATACAACAAACTCCAGCGTACGGATCCGACGTGAAGTGCGAAGACCGCCCACATTAAGACGCTTTGCGATTTTAAGGGTTCCTAACAATTTTTCTCTCTTCTTGCTAATGGACCAATTCCCGCAACTACGTTTATTTCGAAGCGCAATAACCTAAGCTTTTTCAGTCGTGGGATCTACATTTGAATCTACATGGCATTTGTTCCTACACCTTTTCCCAATAGGCGAAAACCAGAGAAACGAAATATGATAATTGTCTTTCTTCAGGGAACTTTTCGGGGAAAATTCACTCAAAGCTTACCAATAGGCATAAGTGTAGTGTTGACATTGCATCCATCCAACTTCAGATAGTCCACATCCCATGAGGCGAACGTTTCGGCATCGATCTGAAAGATGTGAATAAAACTAACGTCTACATAAAGACCATGCAGGGTGGGTGACACTTGCTATTAGCACCGAGAATATGAAAAGTGACTTAGTTCGTGGAAGCTGGAGTGCTAGGGTATAGATTTGAAGGCATAGCCAGAAGTTTAGAAGCTGTTCACATACATTAGCCGATAATTCGTTCTGGCGGGCTCTACAGGCGCAAAGGCTCCAGGTATCGCAACGTTCGCAGTTCGACTCGCTTAAAATTGCTCTCCGCAACTGCTGCTGTCTAGGCTCGTTCTTCCGCCATGCTCTCATGCTCTCTCTCTGCCGGTAAAGATCTCTCATTGCCCGCAAGTGTTGAGCAACACCTCAATTTTGAATTCTTGAGGATCTTTCCCTCATTTCTTGCTGGAGGCTCGCAACGATGCTTTCACTCTCGCATACAAAATTGAACCTGAGGTGTGCCCCCGAATACCAGCCACACACTCAGTTTCGAGGTGGATTCAGGTCCAGTGGACGCTCTGATTTTCGCCACACAAGCCTATAGCGCTTCTATCACTCAATTTCGAGCATACGAAATCAGCGTAAGCTCTGCGGTTATCAAATTGTGGTCAAAAGTTTCGCCGAGACGTTTTCTCGATCAAATTTCCCCTCTTCAAAAAGGCCTGCAAGTTTTGATGGAGAATTTTTTCAGGACGCCTTGAATCATCAGAAATCGATGGTTCGGAACTACCAGGAGACACAAGTCATCAATACTGTAAGGGAACTAGTTAGGGAATAAAGAGTAATGTACGAAAATCGCTTCGGCGAATACTTTTGATCGCTACTGTGGGTTAGTCTGCCAGATCTGCCCAATGTCCCCATAGAGCCAAAATCCAAGCCAGAAATGGGTTGGTTGGAGTACTTCAGCACTTCCAACAGTTGCCGATTTTTTCTCAAAGCTTCTTTTCTCGAAATTCTTCATAAAAGCGTTTAAAGGAATACCTGCAGATGGTTTAAACTTCCGGGATATCCTTCGCATGTCTCCGTTCCATAGTCTTCATAGATTCCAAGTTGTAAACCTTTGTCGTGCATCTGAAGCAACATATCTTAAGCTCCTGTATGAGTACAAAAATAATAAAAGGATAAAGCATTTGCCGTTGATCAATCCCTTTTTGGGATGCGGCACGCATTCTACTTCCATTTGTACATTCGTAGTGGCGTTTGAATGCGATGTGGCCTATACAATGACTTGCGGGGGCCAGCCGATGTACAAGTCAGTGTTTTTATCCTCCCAGACAAGTCTGGTACCAATTAACCGACCCCGGAGGGATGGAAGGCTTGGTTGGCCCGGGCGACTCACGACCCAGGATTTGATCCCCGGACCGCTCGCGTGGTAAGCGCGCCACTTGTCACTACACCACTTCCGCCCTAGTAATCAAGAAATGTATAATAAAAAATAAAGGTGGCTGAAAGACGGAATTGTTTTGGGCTTCTGGGCACGTTATGGGAGAAGGTTTTACCATGCTCCTTATCATGAATGCTAATGCTAGGAGTGTAACCCTCGCCAATTGACGTTTCCAACTGGAGTCCACTCCTCAGCCATCGTAGTCACTCCCTGTCAACTGTGACACATACCGTACTGTATTCGGAGGTGAGGTACACTCTCCTGCGAAGGATTACAATCATAACGACAACGGCTTCGAACTATAAAGTTTTGTGATAAAAGAACGATAGCCGTTATGATCTACTTGAAAACGCTTTACTGTGTTGTTCAAGCCCGTCACTGCAGAAATCCTGACGCGGCCAGGCTATTTGGCTCTCAAAATAATCCTAGAACAATTTTAAGGCACTTTCGGCTTATATTTTCTCATCTGCGAGCGACTACCAATAACGAATTGCTTCCTGTATTTTGGAATGTCAGGCTTTGCCAACAAACGCTACCAAAGACGGATGTACTAGTGACCCGAGTATTCTTCGGCGTCCTTCTGAGGAGCCTGCCATAGGCATATTAAAGTCCGCTTTGTATACACTCATTCTTATCTACTGAGCACATCGGAAGCGGCTCTTCTCGGACAAACAGTTAGTGTCGGGACAATCCGTGTCCCTTTTAGCTTTGATTTAACTCTCGCTTGAGTACGCACGTTCATCAGCGACTTATAATATGTGTGCATGGAATACCTGATCGTCGAAGGGAGTAGCACATTATCGATTGCTTTTGATTGATTCTATTGATCGCAAAGGTGTAGTATTTCTCTGCTTCATCGAAGAATTCATTTTTCAGTGGCGATAGCAGAAACGAGGATAGTGTCGCGAGCAAAATTTACTCTACAGACCGAAGAAAGGGGAGCATTCCGAGACCAAGAACGTGGAGAGTCAACGCGAGATCTCTCGACCCACACGAAACATAAAGGGCATTTTCAAGCCTGCTTGAAACCCCTCACTGTTTCCTTCTTTGTGCCAAAAAGCCATCATAAAAACAAAATTGGTGCTATACAATTAGGGTGGGCACGCCGCTTTTTTGAACATAAGTGTATGTAAGTGGGACTGCTGCCCGCTACTATACTGCCACGAGAATCGTGGAATTCGTGAGCCAAGATGCCGGCGTGCCCACCCCTCTTGTATAGAGTCACAAAGTCGCATTGGAAGCGCAATAAAAGTATGGCTTACATATTTGGACAATTTCTTAATTCCGCTCGGGAAACGCTGATGGTCCGCCACCAGTCGACCTGCTTTGTCCCTCTCCTTTTCCATCCAACAGTCGTCAATGTGAACACGATTGTAGCCAGCGGCCAAGAACCCGTCCGTAACTAAAAATATAGCTTCAATTTTTTACTACCATTTCGCTTAAAACGGCCCAAATGAGGTCAACCAAAGAACAGCTCAAAACGAGGTTGGGGGATCAATAACTACAATTCGGCTGAATGACGCATTCTACTGAATTCAAACCCAGTGACCACACTGAGCACTGAAGAGCGCATTCCACACTATCAGCAAACAACTTCATTATAGCTTTCTACCGACGACGCCAGATTTTCCACGGGTTTATGATGCACGGTATGGACTCAATAAGGTTCTCGACAGATTGTAGGCCATTACAACCTTATCTGAAACGCTATCCGGAAAGGGTCTGGCTTAGCCAGAGCTACTGTCCCTGAGAAGTTATACTGGTTAAAGCAACAGTCCTAACATGGTGGGCGTGTCAATATGGACACGATTGTAGCCTGCGGCCAAGAACCCGTCAACAGCTACAAAACTATAGCTTTATTTTTACCGCTGATTCTGCTCAAAACAAACTAATGAGGTCAACTAAGGAACAGCTTAAGTTTGGGAATCAATGCCCAATGTTCGGCTGATTAGTGTTCGAACCCAATGATCCCACTGTCTACAAAAGAGCACATTCCACTCTATTGAGAAAAAACTTCATAATAGCCTGCTAGACGACACTAGAACAATTTCCCACGGAGTGAGGTTCTCGACGGATCGTGGGCCATCACAACCTTATCTCAAACGCTATCCGGATACAGTCCAGTGTAGTCAGCGGTACTGTCCCTAAGGCCGATGTCAGACTTTGCGAATCGCGCGATTCGCTAGCGTCTGCGGTCGCGTCGCGGCCAGTGAATCACTCAATTGGCTGGTACCGCAACGCGACCGCGGACGCTAGCGAATCGCGCGAATCGCTAGTAGCGAATCGCGCGATTCGCAAAGTCTGACATCGGCCTTAGAAGCTATCCATTGGTGAAGCGATGAAGAAATTGTGTAGCAGCTTCAGGCTGGAGCGATTACGGTAGGCCTCCTTGAGCTCGACGGTGATGGCAGATGACGTCATATTCTGAAGACGGTGAGGGCAGTGAAGGTTGATTCTGCTTATCGAGGGAGGTATAAGGAATATTTTGCCGTGGAAATTCCACCAAAAGCGGCGCTCTGCGACGAAAAGTTTGATGTGGTGCTTCATGGGCAAAATGACTCCTATTTTGCCCCTCCCCCCTATATATACAAATAGGAACTAAAAACCAATTTCTTACGACACTTTTGACTCACCCATTCGATCGGCCATGTCCGTGATAATATTCTCATTACTGCTAGTGACTGGTCGATGCAGTCGATTTCGGCCATACAATGCCTCCCACGATCATCTCACCATTGGGTGTCCTAAAAGTTCACTCTCTTCGTTTATGCGGTCCGTAATTCAAGATTGAATTCTAAACTATACCTGGGCCAATCCATTGTCTAAGAAATGTCCAATGTAATTGTTCATCAGAGTAAATACGTAAGTTATCAAATCACCGAAATAATGATAACATTCTAACCAAATCCAATGGATAGTAAGAACTTCATGTGCTTTCAACTTCCTAGAATGAAGTGTTTCTAAGGCATAGCCCCAGGGTCACTTCGTGTGGCCTTGTACAGCTATTGCAAAGTATTGTAACGAATGGGTCGGCAGTGAAGAAAAAAGGAAAATAATCACATCAAAAGAAGCTAGTAAACAAAGGCATGCCCCAGGATCGCACTGGTGTGGCTCTTGCACACGAATGTGAATGTATCGGTGCCAAGTGGGCCGGCAGTGAAGAAAAAAGGAAAAGAATCCGTCGAAAACGCTCAGGTTGAGGGCTCACTCACCTTCCTAATTGGCTGTGCTAAAGGAACGAGAGACTAAGCGCGAAGAGGAGAGTATGGGGCGAGAGAGCGCATCAGATGAGAGAGCACCAGACAACGGCCTGATAAGAGAGCTCGTTCGCTGCAGCTCGAGCAGCTTACTTTGCAAGCCCAAAGCGTTCTTGTCGGTCGAATTCCGTGCACGTGAACGCCACATTTGTGATTGTCCCCTAGGGTTCTATACTTCTGACCGAAGAGAAGAGTTCACACGACCTCTGCCTGGGTTGTGCCTTTAAGGCTCACTCACCTCTCTAAATCGGCTGTGCCTGAGGAAATGAAGTACTAATTCGTTCGAAGGAGAGTAGAAGCGAGAGAGCGCAACAAATGAGAGGGTTCCAGACAACAACCTGATAGAAGAAGAAAATCTGCAGCTTTGAGCCCACTTTGTGAGATCCTCGCGCTCTTGTCGGGCGCTTTCGGTGCGCTGGAATACCAGATTGTGACTGTCCTTTAGGGGTCTGTCCTAGAGACCCGATGGGAATCGTTCACAGGAATTCTGCCTGGGTTGCTACAAACAGAAAATACCACTACGTATCCCTCCTCTCGGCAGCGCGTGGGGATTCATTGAACCACCTTAGCACGCGAGGACGTATGGAGACGTTATTGGCGTTCGCTCAAGGGAGATTGGGAGGATAGTAGATACAGGTAATACTATCTTCTCATAGAGTCACAAAATACAAAAAGAAATACGTTGGGAAAACTCTGAGGTACGGCTGAGCCTACCCCGGACACGCGCGCTATTTCACTATTGTAGCCCTCTCCATGAAACAATCACCAGAAGGTCTTGGTTTCGCAGTTTCTCTGTCACTTTTTTTCAGTTTCGCTGGCTACTTTAGTGTCACTCAGCACCCACAACCAGCACAAAATTTTATTAATTGAACCCCTGATAAACAAGAAAGTGGATTGGTGGGTATGAAAAATCATCACTAGCAAACAATTTAGCTGTGAAATGCTGAAAGAAGTTGGCATGGCACAAAATCATAAGCAAAAACAAGTTTGGACTACTCATGGAAGTATATATGATGGAGGAAAATATCTGGACAAGCTGCATATTGATCAGCTGTTGTGTTAGGTAGATTATCGGGCGCACTGGTCAGAACATAGTGTAACAACATATTCCAGGACAGGTCAGAAATCTTCCCGAATCGCGGCAGAAAGTCCCAAATTCAAATGAGTATCATAAAATGCTTTCGGATCAACTTCCTTTGATTGGAGCCGCCCATCGACATCTTTCCAAAGACCTGCCGATTTGGGATGCGCCACGCATTCTACTTTCCATTCAGAACCGTAGTGGCAATTTGAATGCGATGTGGCCTATACAATGACTTGCGGGGCCAGCCGATGTACAAGTCAGTGTTTTTATCCTCCCAGACAAGTCTGGTACCAATAACCGACCCTGGAGCAGGGTCAACCCTATCGTTGTTACTTTTTGAAAATTTTTTACGACCCCCCCCCCAAGGTGGATTTGGTACGACCCCCTTTTCCACACCTCGACCACCATCATCGTCTTAGTATTAATTCTGACCACTCAACCCACCAAACTCCGCCCACTTTTTCCTCCAAAAATGCCGTCGAGCGGGGGGTATATAGCTACTCTGAAACAGTAAAAATTCCCTATATCTCCGCCATTTTACTCCTACTTTTACCGGCTTTTACCTATATTTACCTATATATTCCCACCACTTCATTTTCTAGGGGGGAGCGCGGGGAGGGGGAGTACGCCGCAAACGGCTATTTTTTTTCACTGCGCCGCCAACCTCACGCGCCATAACTACTCCACGGGTGACGAGCGCTACCTACAAGTCAACCAAGTACGACACCCCCCGTTTGTTATAAGTAAACACCGTTAGGCGTTGACCTGCCTGGAGGGGATGGAGGGTTGGCTTGCCTCCCCGCGCGCGCCCCCACCAATATATTTACATTCTAAAAAGCTATTAAAAACTTATTTCATACTTTGTTTTTTTGCGGTGAGCGCACGTCGTAATTAATTGATTTCAGGGCCAGCGATCATGCTTGCGACAGCTGATCTTGTCAACCTACCCACTTCTGCCGAGAGGAAAATTTTAAACAAACTCTAGAGCCATGCAAAACGTCGATAGTGACATGTTGGGATGAAAACAAAGTGTTGCTCAACTACAGCTTTCAGGCCATCGCTCAGCGAGAACATCACCGTACGATGTTCAGCTTATAAGGGAAGGATGTTTGGATCGTTAGCATTGCGTCGATTTGGAAGTGGGTTCACTTTTATGTGTCTCCAGGAGCGCTGATTTCCAAATCTGCCTTCCGAAGCACGTGAACCATGTCGTGCAAAGGCTATGGTTTCTAATCCCCCTTCAAGTAGTGCCGAATGTCCTAATGCGTTTGAGCGGCCGGAGTACTGCAAGAGGCGACAGTCAAGGAGTTGGCGATCCCTTTCCTTGTATTTTGTTTATAGCACCAACTTAAATAGGGAGCGCTAAAGATCGTTGCTATTACTTAATGGATTTCTCCTGGAATATTCTGACTTTGGCGCAGCAGACTATGGCGTGCGCAAAGCAGAAGACGTTTTCTTTCGCCGAGAGGGGGACCATCACCTTTAGGTAGGCAAGCTATTCTTTGGGAAGAATTTCTAGCCAAATCGAAAGTTCGAGCCTTACATCGAAGGGATAACAATGGGTAGCATAACCAGTCTCATAGCTGGTGCCTTCAACATCACACATGAGTATAACTTGTGCGGACAAGATGATTCTGATCATTAAAACACCGCATATATTTAATATTTGATATTTGATATTTATTATTGGAAAACAAACTCTAGAAACAAAACGTCACAAATGAGTACGAACATATCTCCAATAAGTAAATGCAAGATAACCAAATGGGGTACAAAAATGGGAACTGTTTGAACAGGGAGCGGAAGTCAGCGCAGAAGGGCAGTGGCCGCCACACTGCAAGCTCATGCAACAAGAGGAAGAGCTCCGGATACCAACTTAGTAGGTCCGCCAACCTGCCGAAATCCAGCTCCATGGCAGAAGTACTAGCGAGGGGAGGGGAAAAGAAAAAAATATCAAGCTCAAAGTAAGCAACGAAATCAAACTAAAGTATATAAACATAACAGTGGCATAAATTCAATCAAGGCATTGAACCTAGAATATGGATAAATGAATCGCTTCTCTGCCTCATCAAATTGAAAGTGCTTAGTTTCATGTTCTCAGAACCAACCTTGAGAAATCATGATCTTTCTCACTTTCCTGAACGAGCTGGAAGAGCTCGAATTTACGACAGAAGGTGGCAAATCATTCCAAAGGTAATAATTCTTTGAGTGAAGGAGCTCCGGAATTCGGAGGAATTAGTTTTCTCTCTTAAGAGCCTGTAGTTATGACCTCGTGGGCGCCCAATAGTAGTTGTCGTTAAGTTGAATTTCTGAGCATAGTTTTGAGACTTATTTGCCTCTTTATTCCTCTTGTGCTCATGAAGTGATATTTTGGTGACTGTATGGAAGAAGTGTTGCGTAGGGAGGTCGGGGGGGGGGGGTGCGTTTCTCAAAAAAGCGCAAAAGATTATGCACGTGATTTACAAGCCACGTGAACCCCTCGAAATATCCACTGCTCCTTAGGTAAACACTTGTGCAATCTTTGTAGTGACAGCTGCGACTCGCACGAAACTGGTTCTGACTTCCGATGATGCGCATTGATAAGAGGCTTATCAGACGGAGTTTGAACCCTAAGAAGTTGAGACCACTCTCAAAGTTCTTCGCTGCTTTACGGCATTGTCACTTTGTCCATTTTGGTATTCTTTTTATTCTTAGTGCATATTATTATATTCCCAAACGTATTAATGCATACGTTAAATAAGCCTTCTCAATCATGTAGTCAAACTGGACTAGTCTCTCTCCACGAAAAGAAACGTTTTCATTCCTGATATACTTGAAGCGAAGGATTACGATAAACTGTGTGTGCAGTGTGGAAATACAGCACCACGAAGCCAGTAGCCGGGCCCAAAAAGCGAATGCGGCGTTTTGTGGAACAAAGTCGCTACTAAGCGACTGGCTTGCCATTCCTTCTGAACTCCGCCAACGGCTGTCTCTGCCCCTACACACATACGTCCTTCGATTATCATTTTGACGAGATATTCCGCTTTGAATGCGTATCCTATAACTTTCCCATGGAACTCGTTACCAATCAAAGCATGGTCTTTGCTAGTATGATGGTGATTATCGGTTTACAACATGCAAAGACCTCTTAGTTGGTTGCTAGCTCGTCCATTATCGGAGGTCAACGAGCAAAGAAAAGGGTTCCCATTTTGCGCGCGTTCTCAACGGATTTTCTTTGCTTTTCTTGCGGCAGAGGCACGACGTAAGCAAACCAGCCCTTTTGGCGCTTCGGCTGGGACCGTATGCTGAATGTTGGGGAGGGGATGGAGTCCCCGACGGTGGACGGACCACTTCAACTCGGTCCTTAGAACCGCCACAATTTGGTGCCTTACCTCAGAACTAAGCCTTAAAGAGAGGACGGGTCCGTCCCCTCTCCAAGGCTTAGTCCTGGGGTGAGCAAAACCAGCCCTTCTGGCGGAGCTGCTGGACCAGCTGCACCACTTGCGTCAGTACTCTCCTATCGTACCAACCGAGTTGAAGTAAACCGTCGACCGTTGGGGACCCCATCCCCTCCCCAACATTCAGCATACGGTCCCAGCCGAAACGCCAAAAGGGCTGGTTTTGCTTACACTGGAGCACTACTCAGCACTTCCACGTCCACCATGAAACCCGTACAATCTTATCGTAAGTCCTCGCTTTGAGCACAAGGGCTTTAAATACCGCCAAATTTTGTGACAATCTTAAACATGGCGCACTCCAAATAGATCGGCGAGAGCAAATAGACTTCTTCCCATGATCGCGTGATTCATTTGACTCCTCTCCCATTCAGAAATAATCTTTCCAATATGGATCTGTCGCGGGACAGACTGGAACAGTTCCTTTTAAAATTCTCTTGTTTCATGTCATAAAACGGATCATATTGAGGGCAGGGCATCTGCTCAAAAGGATTTTTGTTGGAAAAATTCCAGAGCATTTCTAAAAAGCTCTAGTAGATCCTAGTGATTTTTCCCCCCGTTTAGTGGTGTGGTTTTATTCCTCGTATGTTCATTCGGTTTTTTATTCGGAGTAAAGGATGTCGGGAGAATCAGGGAAAGGGTTGTGCTTCAAAATTTCCCGGGATGTCGGGTATTGTTCAAAGCAAACTGAGGCAAGCGGTTTTTGAGCATTGATCACATCAGCAGGAAGATCGGCAGCATTCTCAGAGGTTGCATATATCCCCTCAAGACGAAAATTTATAATGTCCAATATTATTTCGGAACTATGACTTGAGCATTATTAGCCTGACCATTGTCTTCAGAGACGTGAATTCGCATTAGTGAGCTAGGCCAAAACAAAAGCGGAGAGTGGTCAATCACGTTGGCAACGGGTTAAGGAGACAAAGCACTGCTCCAAGTTTTCAAAATGTGAAAGTGAGTGATGTAGCAGAGTTCTAAAGCACACACGTCGCGGTGCTGTCGAAAAGACAGAGGTTCTAAGCCGTTGGCTTGGCCGCTGCGATCATTGCCATTCCTTCTTATAAGCAGCGCACGGGGTGTCTGCTTCCTCTCGTATGACGTGCTCTCTCGCGTATGCTCGTCTTGCCACGTTGTGTCTCTCCGTCGTATCACGGTCATTTTATACAAGGGGGGGGGACAATACTAATTTCCGCTCGAGAATTCTAGCAATCGCTCCTTCGATTATCGCATTTTCATTGAAGACGATATCTCAAGCAGAAACAATTATCCAATAAACGCGCCAATTCCACCTATCCGTTCTATCTGGCTTTTATCGTATTTAGCCTTATCAAACTTCCGACTTAACTTTCACTCAGACCAGATATGGCTTTCAGTGCTACTTGAATAATTGACTGGTATATACTTCCCCTTCAAAAGCGAGAAAGTGTCGGGTGCAGACCATACACCACAAGTGACGACGGCCTTCACAAAATGTTAATGTTTTCTGCCAATGAAATGATTAGCCTGTTGCAGTTGTATTCTATCAGTTGTCACTAATTACAACTATCATTTACCAAAATCAGCTATCACTATGAACAACTTCTAACCAGATTTACTTGGAGGCCGTCGTCAGTTGTGGTGTTTGGTCTGCACCCGACACTTTCTCGCTTTTTGAAGGGGAGGTTACCTGACTGAAGGCAGCTGGCGAACTTTGTGACGAATTGCTAGCGAGTGGCGCGTAGGAGGAAATAATTTTCTGTGGTCCAACTTACTTTTTCCTAACTGACGGTACATTTCCTAATTCTTGTTTCATTATCAACTAGAAAAACAGACGGGCTCGGCGCAACCTGTATCCCTACTTATGTATTTGTATGTAGGTGCCACCGAATGAACTTCCGCTTCCAATTTATTTGCCATTATTTGCTCTTATAATTGTTTTAATAAGCTGTTCCAGGATGATAGGCGAACTATTCGTACTCGTCTCCGTCTTGGCCTGTTCGTCCGCACAGATACTCGATCTGAGTCCAGGACAAGTTCAAGGGTTTGAATACATCACGAAGGGTGGTGAAACTGCCGAGGTTTTTCTCGCAATACCTTACGCCGCTCCTCCCATAGGAGAACTAAGATTCGAGGTGAGAATCGATGTAGTCAAATATAAGGGGATTTGTGTGCAGAAAACAGCTCATTGTCAGTTATTTTATGCTTCCGAAGGCTGTGAGTGCGACGGTTGGACAGTGGAGCTAAAGTGGGAGCGCCTGGTGAAGGGAAACACGGGAAGAGGGGGTGGTCCAATCACACCTAGCCGCTGGTGGACCGTCCTCCAACCAGGGTCGGTCCTATCGTTGGGACTTTTTGCAAAGTTTTTACGACCCCCACCCGCAACTCTCAATTAGCCCCACCTTTCCGCGAGACCCACTGCCTTGAAGACATTTTTAGGTTCCACCCCCCCCCCCCCATTAAAAAAAGGTAGCTTTCCTGCGTAAGATTGCCTGGGCCATCCGGAATTACCTTGCACACCTTCGTTCCCTTTTGGCTTTTTCTAACAACAGCAGTGAGCGAAAATGTATAGCCCTGGAAGGGTGGCCCCAGTAATTGGTGCTCCAGAAATAGCTATTTCCAATCGAAACATGAGTGTTCCAGAAGCCTGCTGCCGTTTCGCCATGGAAAGGATTACATAATGGGACAGCGTTCGGTCCTACTTGCCATCCACATACACGTCATGCCACTCTGCCGCCGAATCCCAGCGAAGACTGCTTAACACTGAAACGTGATTCGCCCAAAGAAAGCGGTGAGCATTCCTACGAGGCTGAGTTCAGCCTGAAAGAAGGTCTTCTCATTTCTGCATTTTGCAAAAATTGATCACTTTTATATACGTAGTTGGTCAGTTTTCTTCATTGTGAAATATTGTCAGGCTCCCCCTGGTGGCTATCCTATTCTCCTGTGGGTTCATGGCGGAGGCTATGAGATCGGGTCGGCCAGCTTGTACGGATACAAAGGATTTGCGGATATCTACATACCAAATGACATTATCGTCATCACCATACAGTATCGCTTGGGTGTATACGGTAATTTTCAAATATGCTCATTAAATTCTTATATCATTGTTCCGTATAATTTGGCTATACATACTCCTTAGATGGAACTAGTCAGGGAAACATCAAAGAGAGCGACTGTAAATATGCAGACATTGGGGGAAGCGTGTGCGCCACGTGAAGCAGTTACTGGCTGCCAAGGCAGCTAGTTGTGGCGCTTTCACGACGAAAGGTGCGCGGTTGCTGGGCAGCACCTTATAAGCGCTCCGCTTTGCTTCATCTCCGTCCAGCCCTGGGCAGGGGGAATCTCCATCCACTCAAATTTTATTGTAGAAAAATCTCCTGACTCTCCTGCTAATGCGCAATCCCGCGCGGTCGCGAATGGGTTGAACTTTAGGTGGAGCGTGTGTGGACGGATCTGTTTTATACATGTTCACAGCGCTACCATACGGGCGCCAAATCTGCGCTCCATATAACTAATTTTTCACTAGTGACCTGAGGTTGTCGATCAATGATCGTGAGCGGGCGGTTGAGACCTTCTAGAAGCACCACTGAGGTGTAATGGTAGCATATTTAACGCCCATGTGCCTACTCCTGTAGCTTTGATCGCTTGTGAATAGATAGTAATATGTCATTTCTCAAACAAGCTTCCTTGAGGTTTCTTCTCTTCTGGTGATTCGCGCATTCCTGGAAATCTCGGCTTATTCGACATGGCTGCAGCACTCAAGGTATTTTTGAATCAATTCATAAAATAGCATGGGTGTGCGTCACATGGCGCGATCCCATTGGCATTGGAGCGCACAGGTCGTAGTTGCCACATCCTGCTGTGGCCGGACAACTCGTCCGCGCACCACATCCATCACACTCCTCTTGCCTTGGCGTCAGGCCAATAGAAGCTATCCGAGCTAAAAATCACGATGAGCCTCAATGATCTTTGAAAGAAGCGATAGTTTTTCTCTTAGGCCCAACTTACCAGAGCGATC